AATTTATAAAAGTAAACCATTCTAGGTCAAAGTACGGTCTTCAACACGGAGCCTTAGCTCACACCAAACAGCAAGCTATAAAGGGCCCCAAAAATTAATAGTGTAATTAAAACCATTCAAACGGGAAAACCAACAGTCTAATCTATATAAAAAACGAGAAACGAGAAACACTTATGAACCACATCAACAAACGACAACTACTGAACATCAGATTCCTGACTTAGGACAGGTGCAAACAAATGCAGCGGGTTTAAACATTTTAATGGTACCAAACCTTCACCCTTATCTGAAACAATGGTCATAATGAAGAATGAGCCTTGAATGGGTAGCGAAATTCATTGGCAGTGCTTTAAATCAACGATCAGAAGAAAGTTCATTTATTAAACAACGTTTAGATATGCCGAAGTGACCCACAGTGCGTCACTTCCGGTAGATTTGGTTTAGTACTGTTTCCGGAAGTAGCGTTAATTGGATTTTCCTAAGGTAAAAATAGTTGAACTTTACACACTAATATCTCTGTAATTAGTGGACCAAATTGCATTGTTTTTTTTGCATTTTTTTATCAATTATTTCGAACTTTTAGATAAAAATTACTTGTTATGTGTGTTTTAGTACCTCTTTAATATAAATGAATTTAATTGAAGTCTAAATTTTTTAGTGACATCAATATTAAAAAAAAAAATGTTCAAACACGCTTCATGTACAAACACTGAGTTTATTGTCATATACTTTCTAAGAATATTTATTCGAAGAAAGTGATTTCGGATTTTCCGTGGATCTATACAAATTTTCAGAGAAAAAGTTTTGCTTCACTCGTCAATTTCGAATACTTTAAGAACTCTTTTAAGCAATAAATATAAAGAATAATGAAGATTATTCATTCAAGATTTGAACACTTTAAGTTTTATTAATGTACGAGTAAGAATAGCACGATACGAGTTAAATAAACTGTTTCGCCTAGCGCAGCTGGATACGACCGCAGAGGTCCAACCCTGAACAGTTGGGGCAAAAATGGACACAATATTCAAGCTTGATACAGGTCTGAATTTGGATTGTAATTAAATATTTTAAACATTATAAGTTTCTGATACAGAATAAATGTAGTCAAAGAACTTGAAATTGGTTATATGATTTGAATTTATATTCAATTGAAGATTTCTTGCTTTTGTACAATACACTGTGCTGTTGCGCAATACTTAGTAAATCTGTTTTCAGACTATATACAAAGAATTAGCAAAATAAATTGTGACCCCCACATTCTTAAATTCTTCATAATTGAAGAATTCTTCATTTTCATTTCTTAAATCTTGAGGGAAAAAAATTGCCCCTCCAAAAAAAAAATTCTGGAAATCGATAAGAAAGAGATAAATTAAGGTAACAAACAGAAACTGAGGGAACCCTATGAACTCCAGATGTGCATCGACATGGTAAGCGTCTCCTGTTATGCAAACATCACCTACCATGCAAATTCACACTTAGTAAAAAGTCACATTCGAAAAATAGAACTCAATCAATAAATAACAGATCAGAGGACTTTACAAAATTTGTAAGGGTTCCACGGAACCCAGTGTCTCGCCTACTTTTGCTGTTAGTCGCAGGCTCAACAAAAATGGGGAAAAAATTATTAAAAATTTTCCTCTAGATACTAATTATATCTTTTGATTGTAAGAAGTTCTGTTCAAGTTTGGTAAAAATCCAAGAAGGTTTATGAATCTAGTAAATGTTTTAACAAGAGTGCACATGCTGAAATGTCTCGCCTTCTTTACTAACCATTGATTTTATGTTGATAGTCCTAAATACAAAGCTTTACTACAAGTAACACATAAACTTAACATGATCCAAGAAAATGAGGTCAAGGTCAGATAAACCAAACGAGAAATACATGTACACCTTACAATCATTCAATAAACCAAACATAGTTGACCTATTGCTTATTGTTTCTAAGAAACAGTCTTAAACAAGAAAACTTAACATTGACCAATGAACCATGAAAATGAGGTCAAGGTCAGATGAACCATGCCAGACAGACATGTACACCTTACAATCAATTTAGGCATTAAATATAGTTGACCTATTGCTTATAGCTTATAAGAAACAAACTATACCATGAAAACTTAACATTGACCAATGAACCATAAAAGTGAGGTCAAGGTCAGATGATACCTGCCAGACAGACATATACACCTTACAATCCTTCCATACATCAAATATAGTTGATCTATTGCTTATAGTTGAAGAAAAACAGACCAAAACACAAATAAAAACTTAACACTGAGAAATGAACCGTGAAAATGAGGTCAAGGTCAAATAAAACCTGTGAGACTGACATGTACATCATAAAATATTTCCATACACCATTTATAGTTGACCTATTGCATATAATATTAGAAAAAAAGACCAAAACTCAAAAACTTAACTTTGACCACTGAACCATGAAAATGAGGTCAAGGTCAGATGACACCTACCAGTTGGACATGTACACCTTACAATCATTCCATATACCAAATATAGTAGACCTACTGCTTATAGTATCTGATATATGGACTTGACCACAAAAACTTAACCTTGTTCACTGATCCATGAAATGTGGTCGAGGTAAAATGAAAATTGTCTGACGGGCATGAGGACTTTGCAATGTACGCACATACTAAATATAGTTATCCTATTACTCATAATAAGAAAGAAATTAACATTACAAAAAATGTTGACTTTTTTTTCAAGTAGTCACTGAACCATGAAAATGAGGTCAAGGACAATGGACATATGACAGACGGAAACTTCATAACATAAGGCATCTATATACAAAGTATGAAGCATCCAGGTCTTCTAGCTTCTAAAATATAAAGCTTTTAAGAAGTTAGCTAACGCCGCCGCCGCAGGATCACTATCCCTATGTCGAGCTTTCTGCGACAAAAGTCGCAGGCTTGACAAAAACTTTAACTGCAGACTGTACATAGTGTTAACTGGAATAAAACTAAGTCCATTCATAAGTAATATACGGAAAAACAGGAAATAAATTTTTACAAAATTTCCTTCTAGATACTAGCTTTTGATCATAAACAAGCTTCTGTCCAAGTTGGGTACAAATCCAGAATAGTTTAAGAAAGTTATTAAAATTTTGAAAGCTTTAACCACAGAGTGAATGTAACGTTAACTGGCAGAAAAACTAAGTCCATTTATAAGTAAAATACAGAACAAAAAGATTTTTTTTTTAACAAAATTTACTTTTGAATACTATCTTATGATCACAAACAAGCTTTTGTCCAAGTTTGGTACAAATTTAGGATAGTTTAAGAAAGTTATTAAAATTTGAAAAACTAAAACCACAGAGTGAATGTAATGTTAACTGGCAGAAAAACTAAGTCCATTTATGAGTAAAATATAGATAAACAGGATTTTTTTTTTTTACAAAATTTACTATTTACTTCTGGATAATATCTTATGATCATAAACAAGCTTCTGTCCAAGTTTGGTTGAAATGCAGGATAGTTTAAGAAAGTTATTAAAATTTGAAAAACTTTAACCACAGAGTGAATATTTGTGGACGCCGCCGCCGACAACGGAATGTAGGATCGCTATGTCTCGCTTTTGCGACAAAAGTCGCAGGCTCGACAAAAAAGCAGTGAGTAAAGACACAGACACATCGTATATCAGTCAACCAATGTAGAACTAAGGTAGTGTTAATTTCAGTCTTTTTTTCTCATTGCTTTGTTAGAGTAGTTATTGGGAACAATCTTTACTTTCACAAAGATGTATAAAATTGAAGAAAATTTTTGAGTATTACATGACAGCTTCTAATGTATCTGAGGGAGGACAGACAAGGACATTACTGTTATATTTAATTGGTCAAGGAGCACAAGATATTTTTGAAACATTTAACAATACAGGAGATCGGTTTGAAGAAGCCGTGGCAAAATTCTACCAATATTGAATTAAATTAAAAACTGTTGCAGTAGTATATTGAGGCAAATAACTTCAAAGGGGCATAACTCCTAGAAAAAAATTGAATCATAATTTCCTGTAAATATTCACATCTACATAGTATGTCCTTATTATCTACAAAGTTTCATGAAATTCTGTTGTGTGTTTTCAGAGGAGTTGCAACGACAAACTGTTGCAGTAGTATATTGAGGCAAATAAGTTCAAAGGAGCGTAACTCCTAGAATAAAAATTGAATCATAATTTCCTGTCGATATGCATATCTACATAGTATGCCCTTATTATCTAAAAAGTTTCATGAAATTCTGTTGTGTGGTTTGAGAGGAGTTGCGATGACAAAAGGTTGCAGTAGTATATTGAGGCAAATAAGTTCAAAGGGGCGTAACTCCTAGAAAAAAAAATTGAATCATAATTTCCTGTCGATATGCACATCTACATAGTATGTCCTTATTATCTAAAAAGTTTCATGTAACTCTGTTGTGTGGTTTCAGAGGAGTTGGAATGACAAACTGTTGCAGTAGTATATTGAGGCAAATAAGTTCAAAAGGGCGTAACTCCTAGACAAATAATAACTTTGTTGCGTAGGGTATAATTAATCAAATGAAGTCCATATATATGCACGAGCATAACATATTAACGGTACCAATTTTACTTTTTTTCATTTACATTCTGTTGCTTTTTTTTTTAATTGGCCAAAAGTATCAGTGAAAGAAATTTAATGTGGACATCCGCATCTTGTGCAGAAAAATTAGTACAGAAGATGTTTTAAACAGATACAATGCAAGATCTGCCATAAACACGAAATTCTGAAAATGACAAAAAGGTATAGTAAAAATACAACTCTTTTCAGGATTTCTGATTTGGGACAGCACATGAATATATGGAAGTTTTATAAAATTAGTGTCTTGATATCTCAACCCCAACCTTCTTTTATTCCCGATCAGAAGTTTAACAAAGCAGACATCCAAAAACTTACTATCAATACAAGTAAAGGAAAAACACTTTATTCTTAAATAACGGTATGATAGACAAGAATACTGGCAGATCATAACTAGACTTACCTTCTGGAGTCTTTAACATGACAGTCTACAAAAGAATAAACAATCTGATATCACATAAAAATTCATAAACTTGGTGTGTCCACGGTAACATGTAAAGACGTAAGACGAGAAAATCAACAGTTTGATATCGAGCAATCAATAATCGACAAACAAATATATCAGACAGCAACCAAAAACAACCGGTGAAGTACAGGCTTCATACTTGGAACATGCACATACAGAATGTGGTGGTTAAACAGATTTGTGAGTGCTCACTCCCCCTAAACTTGAGACAGTGGTGCAACAACACAACACAATAACATATCATGAACATCAGTTTGAAAATATCTGACGCATCAATTCGAAATGAAGCACAAAGAAGACAAAAAGACAGAAGTCACAAAGAACAAATCTAAAAGGAAATGACACCTTATTAATTTTGAAAAAGGTATGTCTCGTTTGTAGGTTATAGAAATACTTTGACATGTAAAATATACAAAATATTCAGTTACTGAACCATGACCGAAGGTTAAGGGCCAAATATTTTCCATGGAAAAAATATATGCCCATGCTAATACAGCTGCATACCAAATATCACTGACTTTTTTGATATATACCAGTACATGTATTAGCCAAAACTTTAATTAAACCTTATGTTCCATGTTTATCCACGGTGGCCATGTTGATAGATGAGATTCAATTTCAGAGAATATTTTTTAAGAACAGTTTAGGGACAGTGGACAGGAGACAACAATCGATGGACGAAAAGTGATGACAAAAACTGTTTTGGACCTTCAGGACAGGTGAGCTAAAAACCATGAAATAAATGTAAACATGACTATACACAATACTAGATACCCTCCCCCCCTTTTTTCTGCTCTGCCATTCATGCATGAGTATAGTTCCACATATTTTAGATTTGACGAACAGTGATGTTGGCATATAACTTGAAATTGTTACGCTGTCTGTAAAACACTAATGATGCCTTCGTCTGACCATAGGAAATTATAAAGGACAAGGTGCGATAAGGCCTGTTTTTAGCCCCCCTATTTTCTCATTTTTCAAATTCTGTTTTGGAAAGCTACTTATTATGTTAGAATATTCTCTGAGGTTTGAAGTTTGTTTGGATGAACTTCAAAACCACTAATTTTAGCAACTGGGTGAGGTGAGGGGGGTTAACTTTATGTTATTATTCAAATATTGTAATTATTATTCACTTTGCAGGCGTTCTGTACAACTAATTTTTAGTTTTTTAGTGCCTGCGCCAACGTGACCCAGGAACTTTTCTATTCCAATGTCATGAGAACTGTTTTTGCTGTCTAAATCGCCATAATTTTCTCCCGGTCACGTAGGCGCACGCTATTAAATCTTAAGAAACAATGGCAAAAAATCGTAATTTTTCCTTTTTTGGGCGTTTTTGATGCCCTTTTACCCCTCTCACCTCACCCATTCTCTGAAAATAATGGTTTTGAAGTTCATCCAAACAAACTTCAAACCTAAGGGAATATTTTAACGTGATAAGTAGCTTTCCAAAACAAAAAATTTAAAAATGAGAAAATAGGGGGGCCTTATCGTACCTTGTCCTTTAACACTATATATGATGATGTAACTGTAGGAGTAGATAGCCGGACAAACCATGATCTCTTTATGCAGCTAGTACCAAAAAAATAACTAAGTCCAACTACCTGTCATTTTCAGATTATTTGAACAAAAAAATCAAAATCCTGTGGCCATGCACACATTTATTATATTTATGAACATCCTACAAAATATTAAAGTTGTACCTCCAAAACTGTAGGAGGAGATAGCAGGACAAACCATGATCTCTTTATGCAGCTAGTTCCAAAAAAATGACTAAGTCCAACTACATGTCATTTTCAGATTATTTGAAAAAAATCAAAATCCTATGGCCATGCACACATTTATTATGTTTATGAACATCCTACAAAATATTAAAGTTGTACCTCCAAAACTGCAGGAGGAGATAGCCGGACAAAAAATGTATCCTAATCCGGACAGACGAACGTACAAACAGACGGAAGGACGGACAGACAGGGGTAAATTAATATGCCCCCCCGACATTTTGTCACGGGGGCAAAACGACATCTTTTCAAATCTTTTACAAACCACAAAATAGTCTATTTACATTATAAGGGTTATGGATCTTCTTCTTGTTATAATACTGTTATATTTGATTAGCATACAAATAAATCACAAAGGACAATTTTCATGATGTTTTCAAAATTTGTAAATAACTTGCTTTATTTGTGTACCAGGTTCAAACTGAAATACCTCACTGTATCTGCATATGTATGTATATAAACTACTGTACACAGGTTTACTTTTTTTTTAAATTAAACGTAGAAAAATTAATCAAAATATCAAAATTGAGGTTACATTTATAACTTATAAAAACTTTGAGAGCATTATTACTATAGCTACAAATAATGTCTCAAATATTTGTATTGGCACGCACTAAATCATTATCCTTTACTAGTCATGATAATTTGTTTTTCTTATATGTAATACAACAAAATCATGAAAATGGTAGAATTTAGCATATTTAATTATGATGTGATTAACTTGTATTTGTATTTATATTAGATTCTAAAAGATTTTACACAGGTTTTTTCTATACATGTAAATAAATGTGGATAGTGTCCACATGTGGACACAGTTGATGCCCCGCTTGCATATCATATAGTTATAAAGGGACATAACTGGAAAAGTGACGCTACCCAAATTCGAACTTGATCTAAGTTTTGTGGTAATAAGCATTGTGTGTAAGTCTCATAACATTTGGTTGAGGCTAACTTAAGTCGAGAACAGAAACTAAAAATTCAGAAATTTTTCTATTTGTAAACACGCATAACTCTAGAACCGTTGTGTATAAGTTTTGTAACATTTGGTTGAGACAAACAAACTTAAGTTAGAGAACGGAAATGAAAAATTCAGCAATTTTTATGTATATAAAGGGACAAAACTCAAGAATGGTAAAAGTGTTGCCACCAAATTTCGTACTTAATCTGTATTATGTAGTAATAAGCATTGTGTATAAGTTTCATAACATTTGGTTGAGGCAAACTAAAGTTAGAAAACGGAAACAAAAAATTTGTACTTGATCTTAGTTTTGTGGTGATGAATATTGTGTATAAGTTTCATAATGTTTGGTTGGGGCAAACTTAAGTTACAGAATGGAAACTAAAAATTTTGCAATCTTTCAATTTATAAAGGAGCATAACTCAATAATGGTTAACGTGACATTACCCAAGTTCAACTTGATCGGTGTTTTCTCAGTGGAAGTCAAAATTAAACATTGCATTGTATAAAGCATTGATTGTAGATGATTCAACTATTATCATGGACAAAGGAAGATAACTCCAATTTTAAAAATTATTTGATATTTAGAAGAAAACTAGATATCATTGAGATGGGAGCCATCTCTGTGGGCCCCGCTGTGAATAATGTGTGGTAAAAAATTTGTATCTTTATCATTGGACATGGGGTTGTCAACTAAAACCAAAGTTTTTGACCTTGACCTTTGACCTAAGAAGTTGTACATAAATTATGACACACCCTCTGGTGTTGGTTTATATACATATCAAGTATAAACTTTGAAATCATAACGGTTCTCAAGATATAGAGCGGACGCGATCTTTACCATAGGACATGGGGTTGTCAACTAAAACCAAAGTTTTTTTACCTTGACCTTTGACCTAGGAAGGTGAACACACATTATGACACACCCTCTGGTGTTGGTTAATATACATGTCAAGTATAAACTTTGAAATCATAACGGTTCTCAAGATATAGAGCAGACACGATCTTTACCATAGGACATGGGGTTGTCAACTAAAACCAGTTTTTGACCTTGACCTTTGACCTAGGAAGTTGAACATACATTATGACACACCCTCTGGTGTTGGTTAATATACATGTCAAGTATAAACTTTGAAATCATAATGGTTCTCTAGATATAGGGGGGGGGCGGCATAAAAATGATGAAAAGAAGTGCATTTATATATATGTTTATCACATACTTACATGCACATTAAAATCAATCTTTTCATACACTGATACATAATGTACATATTTTGCTTAAATAAAATGAGATGTGATGTATCAACCAAGAAGACAGCAAGCCGAAAAAACAAATACCAAAAAGATATCCAAACAGATGAGTACACAGTTTTCAAACATTTTTCTTTCACATATGCCAACATCTACATTAGGCAACAAGCTTGGAATTGTCAACTTACATTGTTAACTGACAACAAATACCACATAGACAAATAAAGGCAAATGTTTTATTGTAACTTTTTTGTACCAAGTCTGTTGTCACTCTAATAATCTGTGACATATTTGTGTATATCTCTTTTTAATTAAGACAAAATATCTACCTTAAGGAAGTCCATCACTTCTTTCTTCTTCCTTTTTTCTTTATAAGAGTCATAGCTTTCTATTGTTACCTTATCATAAGGAGTCTGACCCTGAAATACAATCAAATAATCTTTCATCAATCCTACACATATACATCTTCTTTTATTTCAAAAACTGTAAAACAATAAATAAAAGGTAATTGTTGAATAAATTTTACCTATACAATGTAAAACGATAGAAAATAGGTAATTGTTGCAATAATTTTACCTATCCAATGTAAAATGATAAATAATAGGTAATTGTTGAATAAATTTTACCACTATGATACATGAGTAAAAGGCTAACATATGTGACTGTGGAGTATCATTATTCTTGTTTGTACTCTATTCACAAGCACAATGACACCTGCATAAAAGGCTGACATATGTTACTGTGGAGTAACATTATTCTTGTGTGTACTCTATTCACAAGCACTATGACACCTGCATAAAAGTCTGACATATGTGACTGTGGAGTAACATTATTCTTGTTTGTACTCTATTCACAAGCACAATGACACCTGCATAAAAGGCTGACAAATGTTACTTTGGAGTAACATTATTCTTGTTTGTACTCTATTCACAAGCACAATGACACCTGCATAAAAGGCTGACATATGTGACTGTGGAGTAACATTATTCTTGTTTGTACTCTATTCACAAGCACAATGACACCTGCATAAAAGGCTGACATATGTTACTTTGGAGTAACATTATTCTTGTTTGTACTCTATTCACAAGCACTATGACACCTGCATAAACGTCTGACATATGTGACTGTGGAGTAACATTATTCTTGTTTGTACTCTATTCACAAGCACAATGACACCTGAATAAAAGGCTGACATATGTTACTTTGGAGTAACATTATTCTTGTTTGTACTCTATTCACAAGCACAATGACACCTGCATAAAAGGCTGACATATGTGACTGTGGAGTAACATTATTCTTGTTTGTACTCTATTCACAAGCACAATGACACCTGCATAAAAGGCTGACATATGTTACTTTGGAGTAACATTATTCTTGTTTGTACTCTATTCACAAGCACAATGACACCTGCATAAAAGGCTGACATATGTTACTGTGGAGTAACATTATTCTTGTTTGTACTCTATTCACAAGCACAATGACACCTGCATAAAAGTCTGACATATGTGACTGTGGAGTAACATTATTCTTGTGTGTACTCTATTCACAAGAACAATGACACCTGCATAAAAGTCTGACATATGTTACTACGGAGTAACATTATTCTTGTTTGTACTCTATTCACAAGCACAATGACACCTGCATATAAGTCTGACATATGTGACTGTGGAGTAACATTATTCTTGTGTGTACTCTATTCACAAGAACAATGACACCTGCATAAAAGTCTGACATATGTTACTACGGAGTAACATTATTCTTGTTTGTACTCTATTCACAAGCACAATGACACCTGCATAAAAGGCTGACATATGTTACTGTGGAGTAACATTATTCTTGATTGTACTCTTCATATGTATAGGCAACATTGATTTGTTAGTGTATGTTTGGTGTCAGTGTGTTGTTAAAGTATGATAAGATGGTTGTTGTGTTGGTAGTGTAAGATTGGTTAAAGATGTGTTGTTGGGAGTGTGATAAGATAGCTGTTGTGTTGGTAGTGTAAGATGTGTTGCTGGAGTGTGATAAGATGGTAGTTGTGCTGGTAGTGGAAGGTGTGTTGTTGGAGTGTGATAAGATAGTTGTTGTGATGAAAGTGTAAGGTGTGTTGTTGGAGTATGATTAGATGGTAGTTGTGTTGGTAGTGAATGATTGGTTTAAGATGTGTTGTTGGGAGTGTGATAAGATAGTTGGTGTGTTGGAAGTGTAAGATGTGTTGCTGGAGTGTGATAAGATGGTTGTTGTGTTGGTAGTGTAAGGTGTGTTGCTGGGGTATGATTAGATGGTAGTTTTTGTTGGTAGTGAATGATTGGTTTAAGATGTGTTGTTGGAGTGTGATAAGATAGTTGTTGTGTTGAAAGTGTAAGATGTGTTGCTGGAGTGTGATAAGATAGTTGTTATATTGGTAGTGTAAGATGTGTTGCTGGAGTGTGATAAGATAGTTGTTGTGTTGGTAGTGTAAGGTGTGTTACTGGAGTATGATTAGATAGTTGTTGTATTGATAGTGTAAGATGTGTTGCTGGAGTGTGATAAGATGGTTGTTGTGCTGGTAGTGTAAGATGTGTTGCTGGAGTGTGATAAGATAGTTGTTGTGTTGGTAGTGTAAGATGTGTTGCTGGAGTGTGATAAGATGGTTGTTGTGCTGGTAGTGTAAGATGTGTTGCTGGAGTGTGATAAGATAGTTGTTGTGTTGGTAGTGTAAGATGTGTTGCTGGAGTGTGATAAGATGGTTGTTGTGCTGGTAGTGTAAGATGTGTTGCTGGAGTGTGATAAGATAGTCGTTGTGTCCGTAGTGTAAGGTGTGTTGCTGGAGGATGATTAGATGATAGTTGTGTCGGTAGTGAATGATTGGTTTAAGATGTGTTGTTGGAGAATGATAAGATAGTTGTTGTGTTGGTAGTTTAAGATGTGTTGCTGGAGTATGATAAGTTGGTAGTTGTGTCGGTAGTGAATGATTGGTTTAAGATGTGTTGTTGAAGTGTGATAAGATAGTTGTTGTGTTGGAAGTGTAAGATGTGTTGCTGGAGTATGATTAGATGGTAGTTGTGTCGGTAGTGAATGATTGGTTTAAGATGTGCTGTTGGAGTGTGATAAGATAGTTGTTGTGTGGGTAGTGTAAGGTGTGTTGCTGGAGTATGATTAGATGGTAGTGTTGTCAATAGTGTATAATTGGTGCAAGATGTTTGGTAAGATTGTCGTTGTGTTGGTTGTGTATGATGTGTTTGTGGATTATGATAAGCTGGTAGTTGTGTGGGAAATGTATGATAAGATGGTTGTTGTGTGGGTAAAGTATGGTATGATGGTAGTTGTGTTGGTAAAGTATGATAAGATGGTAGTTGTGTGGGTAATGTATGGTAAGATTGTAGTTGTGTGGGTTAAGTAAGATAAGAAAGTGGGTGTGTTTGTAAAGTATGATAAGCTGGTAGTTATGTGGGTAAAGTATGATGAGATGGTAGTTGTGCAGGTATAGTATGATAAGATGTAATTTGTATTGATACAATATGATAAGCTGTTAAGTGTGTAGGTAAAGTATGATAAGATGGTAGTCATGTGGGTCATGTATAAGCTGGTAGTTGTGGGGGTAAAATATGATAAGATGGAAGCTGTGTGGGTAAAGTATGATGAGATGGTAGTTGTGTGGGTAAAGTATGATGAGATGGTAGTTGTGTGGGTAAAGTATGATGAGATGGTAGTTGTGTGGGTAAAGTATGATGAGATGGTAGTTATATGGTAGTTATGTGGGAAAAGTATGATGTGATGGCAGTTGTGTGGGTAAAGTATGATAATATGGTAGTTATGTGGGTAAAGTATGATGAGATGGTAGTTGTGTGGGTAAAGTATAAGCTGGTAGTTATGTGGGTAAAGTATGATAAGATGGTAGTTGTGTGGGTAAAGTATGATGAGATGGTAGTTGTGTGGGTAAAGTATAAGCTGGTAGTTATGTGGGTAAAGTATGATGAGATGGTAGTTGTGTGGGTAAAAACTAAGCTGTTAGCTGTGTGGGTAAATTATGATAAGATGATAGTCATGTGGGTAAAGTATAAGATGATAGTTGTGTGGGTAAAGTATGATAAGCTGGTAGTTATGTGGGTAAAGTATGATGAGATGGTAGTTGTGTGGGTAAAGTATAAGCTGGTAGTTATGTGGGTAAAGTATGATGAGATGGTAGTTGTGTGGGTAAAGTATAAGATGGTAGTTATGTGGGTAAAGTATGATGAGATGGTAGTTGTGTGGGTAAAGTATGATGAGATGGTAGTTGTGTGGGTAAAGTATAAGCTGGTAGTTATGTGGGTAAAGTATGATGAGATGGTAGTTGTGTGGGTAAAGTATAAGCTGGTAGTTATGTGGGTAAAGTATGATGAGATGGTAGTTGTGTGGGTAAAGTATGATAAGATGGTAGACATGTGGGTAAAGTATGATGAGATGGTAGTTGTGTGGGTAAAGTATAAGCTGGTAGTTATGTGGGTAAAGTATGATGAGATGGTAGTTGTGTGGGTAAAGTATGATAAGATGGTAGACATGTGGGTAAAGTATAAGATGGTAGTTGTTTGGGTAAAATATAATAAGATGAAAGCTGTGTTGGTAAAGTTTGATCAGCTGGTAGTTATGTGGGTAAAGTATGATGAGATGGTAGTTGTGTGGGTAAAGTATGATTATATGATAGTTATGTGGGTAAAGTAAAGGCTGGTAGTTGTGTGGGTAAAGTAAGATAAGATAGTGGGTGTGTGGGTAAAATATGTAAAGATGGAATCTGTTTAGGTAAAGTATAAGGTGGTAGTTGTGTGGGTAAAATTTGATAAGATGAAAGCTGTGTGGGTAAAGTATGATCAGCTGGTAGTTATGTGGGTAAAGTATGATGAGATGGTAGTTGTGCAGGTATAGTATGATAAGATGTAATTTGTATTGATATAATATGATAAGCTGTTAAGTGTGTAGGTAAAGTATGATAAGATGGTAGTCATGTGGGTCATGTATAAGCTGGTAGTTGTGGGGGTAAAATATGATAAGATGTAATTTGTATTGATACAATATGATAAGATGAAAGCTGTGGGGGTAAAGTATGATGAGATGGTAGTTGTGTGGGTAAAGTATGATGAGATGGTAGTTATATGGTAGTTATGTGGGAAAAGTATGTGATGGTAGTTGTGTGGGTAAAGTATGATAATATGGTAGTTATGTGGGTAATGTATGATGATATGGTAGTTGTGCCGGTAAAGTATAAGCTGGTAGTTATGTGGGTAAAGTATGATAAGATGGTAGTTGTGTGGGTAAAGTATGATGAGATGGTAGTTGTGTGGGTAAAGTATAAGGTGGTAGTTGTGTGGGTAAAATATGATGAGATGGTAGTTGTGTGGATAAAGTATAAGGTGGTAGTTGTGTGGGTAAAATATGATAAGATGGTAGTAGTGTGGGTAAAGTATAA